AGCTGTTTCATTTATTTAATTTGTTTAAATGTTTCACTTTCTTTATAACAATTATATATATATATATATTTATTATATATATATATTTGTAACAATCTGTGACATTGATTGTAGGAAAATCAGTACGAAAGAAATTTCGAAACTAATGGAAAACTGAAAAATAACGATTATGAAATCAATGTAACAACCAAAATAGACAATGATCGATTATTATCAGTTTCTCGTAAAAGTTAATCGAAACAAAGACCTTACATGATCGTTTTAAAAACCGATATTATAACAGGTTGTTAGAAAAGTGTTTTCGTTTTTCGAAAATATTTGTAAGATTGTTAAAAAAGTATTTGATTCAGTATTTTATCAATAAAAATCAACAAGAAAAATGTCGAAAAGTTGTAGAACAATACATCATTAAATATTGTTTATTGGCAGTTTGTAAACCTTGCTTAAAATATGAACACGAAAATTATGAAATTCTTCAAGTTACCAAACGAGTGTCAGATTTACTCGCATTTAATTATAGCGAACTCTTAACAAGCCTTTGATTTAATTATAACAATAACAAAGATGACAAAGTTATGATATCGTGGAAACAGGTGAAATCAAATCGGATCAATTCATTTATCAATTTTTCGAAAATGGCCTTATGAAACGAGTTCAGAAAACTTTTGTATTTGAATGTCTTTAAAAATCGCGTATCAAACTTTTCGCATAATTGAATATAATTTCAGTAATTATGCAGAAAGTAGAGAATAACATTTTCAGTAACTTTTCCCTATAAATGTTCACTGATTGTTCTCAACTTTAGACCTCAAGTTATTCATGAAAATAGTTTATTTTCAAATTTGCTTTGAAATTTGAATTAGTGGTGAATCAGATAATACAATAAAGAAACAACACTCACAGTTCTCTATTAAATTTTATGGTATATTATAAACACGTTAAATATACAGAAAATCAGACAAACTTGTCCAATAAATAATAAGAATAGATAAGACAAGATTTATTATAGCATTTGTTTTTGTAACCCTCTTATATATCGCAAATTCTACCAAAGCTTGACTTATTTAATAGATTGTAGTAAAAATTAATTTTCAGATTTGTTTAAAAAATCGTGTTAGTCATGTATGAGTGACGTGGCACTCAAAGCGTTAAATAGGAAATGTTTCATGCGAACATTTCACATCACAGTAAAAACGTCATCGAAACGAAAATTCAATGATATTTCGTATCAATTGTGCACATTGTGCCTTTTTGTATTTCTGCTTCATTTTACAAATCGACGAAACTCATTTTGTAGTTGACAAGTCGACGTTATTTCAACAATTATGGATAATAATCAGTAATGTTTCGAGTGACCTAAAGATTCAATACACAATCGTTTACTGTAATATTATTAATCGAATCCTGTTTTCTCATACGGTTTTCTACATCAGTCTCGTCCGTTTTAACAATTTCATCCTAAAAACAAAATGTTTCCTAATCGAAAAACGTCATTCGCGACGCAAACTTGTTCAATCTGCAACTGTGTTCGGAATAATGTCCAGTTCCAAATTAAAGTCCATTAAATTCCATTTAAATAAAATCTCGATTAATGAAATTCTGTTATATACATCTAAGAAAAGCTAAGTAAAAAGTTACGCTGTTCAACACGTATGTATTTCGTGTAACAGTGTACATTCGTGTAACATTTCGGCAACTTTGTGTAAACATTTCTAAAAACGTCATTGCGAAGAAGCAAAAGCTTTTGCTCTTTGACAACAAAGCTGGATACATATTCAATGAAAAGTATACCAATCGTAAGAAGCGTTTCCGCACGGACTATAATTCTTAAATTACAATCTTATTTGACACGTTTCTATTCTTAACGTAAAACCGTTCGCGAAACTTAAATACCAGTAGATCACGGTCAAATTGCATTTCACTTCCACGCTCAATACAATACATTCTACGTTCGTCGTAATTACTGCGTCTATTTAAAAATTCGTACAATTCCATTGTGTAATAACAGATTCTTTTTGCGATGTGAACAGAACAACGGGTTTGTTATTTACCGAAGTATACGATTTGGAACAGCTGTAAATTAATCCTGTGGTTGCAAGGAAGAAAGCCGCATATCACATGTTTTCACTTCCGAGATAAAGTTCCGACTTAAAGCTCTGATCACCAATGCTTAGTTCTTCAAAATGTATAATTTTTATGAACTTATCGAATTTCTTTTTAGCGATTTCCTTCTGACAAACACGTAAATCGTATATGCTACAGTTCAACTAATGTATTAACTGACATTAATACATTAATATTAGACTTGCAGCGTTCTTCCTTATAGCCACAAAATAGTAAGCTGTGCTTCTTTGTTCTCTCTCCGCGTTTACAAACTGTAACGCGAGACATGCAATAAAAAACGATTCTAAATCTTATCGACTTAATATAGACATCAATAAATTATTTATCCGCAAGTGATATATCTGTTGTTGCTTCTCCAAACTAAACGTGGCATAAAAAGTGCGTGGCATAACAGCTCGTTTTTGTGATTCGACAGTGTTTACATTGCAAACAAAGGTTTTCGAATGAGCGAAGGAAAGATTCCTTCGTGTCATGTCATGCTCTACGAAACCCGGATAGGTGTAACGGTGAGGGAACTGCCGTGAAAAACATTCAGGACATTTACCAAGACTGTGCAGCTCATCGTACAGTTAAAAAAATGATTTTCAAAGACTCAGACACGACGAATTTTCATCTGAACGACGAATTTCGGCTTATTCCTTTCGATAACATTATACTGAATTTGTTAGTGAATAATTTAATTCAATTTTATTTAGTTTTATGTAATTTATTTACAGAAATTCAACATAATAACAATAATAGTAATAATAATAATAATAATAATAATAATAATAATAATAATAATAATAATAATACAATAATAACAACGATAATGGGAATGATAACAATATCATTAGACTATACAAAACAAACGCAAACTAAGCATCTTAGCTTCTAATAACATTATATAGTTGGTTTATAAATTCATTAAAATCATCAATGATTGTCGTTATTATAAATGTTAGCCAAATTACGAATTCTATTCAAAGGATTAGTATAGAGAAGACCAGAGACATAGTGATAAGCGGCACAATATTAAATTTATTTATTTTACTCTTCTATTAAACAATCTCAAAACTCCGAAAACATTGTGGATAGATCGAAATATAAATCGTATTTTTGTGTTTTAAAAAATNAATAATAATAATAATAATAATACAATAATAACAACGATAATGGGAATGATAACAATATCATTAGACTATACAAAACAAACGCAAACTAAGCATCTTAGCTTCTAATAACATTATATAGTTGGTTTATAAATTCATTAAAATCATCAATGATTGTCGTTATTATAAATGTTAGCCAAATTACGAATTCTATTCAAAGGATTAGTATAGAGAAGACCAGAGACATAGTGATAAGCGGCACAATATTAAATTTATTTATTTTACTCTTCTATTAAACAATCTCAAAACTCCGAAAACATTGTGGATAGATCGAAATATAAATCGTATTTTTGTGTTTTAAAAAATCGAAGTTAGATGTGTGAATATTGTTATAGAAATATTTTGGTAGAATTCTTAGCTGTCCAATGGCTCAATACAAAAATCATTTCTTTGATCTCGGCAATTAAAGACGAGAATATACTGTGACTAAACAATTTGATCAGAATGGTGGCCTTGACAGTGCATTTATTTGAAGCTTGAAGACGAAGAAAAGTAATTCGCACGACTCCGTGGTTAAATTGCTACAATTTATTCAACTGAAAAACAAAAAAAAGGCGTCCGAGTGTTGTCAAAAGCTGTACACTCTGCGTTCTTCTGTTTGGTCGGTGCTCGATTCTTTCGCTAAGTTTGCACTCGAAGAAGGAAAATAGTGTCCGATAAAGAGGCCGTGTAAAGCCAATGGAACCATACTTTTAATTTAAACCGAATCTGCGAACCCAACACTCTTATTTTTGATCGGTACCTGTAACTCGCTCGACTCCATTGCTAAATTTCTATTCACTCAATTTTGTTTTTACACGGTAGATACATTAATATACCTAGAAATTTACGATCACTGGAAATAAACGTCCTTAAAATTTAAATCAAGCAACTTTCTTAACCGTGCTAAATCGAATGAAATCGTGTAAAAAAGAAATTAAATTTATTTTTCTAGACTGTGCTATATCAAAATCGTGTAAAAAATCCCGTGAAATAAACAGGGGTGTAATTAATAAATTAGATAAATTATTTTCCCTGGAAAAGGGAAAATGGTAAAAAAGGTTGTCAAAAAACGACCAGAACCGCACTCTAACCGCAATCAACTAAAATAGTTTTTTGTTGTCGATGCTCGCGACTGGTTCGATCCCATCGCTGAATTGTCATAAATTTTGCACCGGAAGACGAAAACGGACTGTGAAAAGCGAACGAACGCGTGCTTCCGACGAATGCCGCGGACTCCGCAGTTTCGTTCAGAAATTCCGTGTTGTTCGGTGCTCGCGACTCGCTCGACCCCACCGCTGAATGTTGGACTGCCTCGCGAGGCACGGCTCGTGACGTAGATACCTGTCGCGCCTCCATGTTTGCCTCGTCCCGAGTCTGCCTCGAATCGAGTCGAGTCGCTGCCAGTCGGGTTTCCATCGTGCTTCGGGCTGCCTCACTGCGATCTGCTTGTTCTGTTCGAACGGCTCTGAAGCAGTCCCGGCCTCCATAGCACACGCTTCGTTCCCGAGCATGGACAACGAGAAGTGTAAAATCTTCATCGAGGTCTACAAGAGGCATCGGTCGTTGTGGGACCCGAAACACTACGATTATCACAACAGCGCGATAAGGGAGTGCTCCTGGCGAGAAATAAGTTCGATTCTGAACTTACCTGTTGCCGAACTCAAAAACAAAATGAAATCGCTGATGGGCACCTACCGGAGAGAAAAATCCCGGCAAAAAAAGAGTCTGATTACTCGATCAGGTACGTATTAATTACGAGCACACGGAGTTAAACTAGTTTTAAACTCCAGTTTTAATTCCCCTCTTAAACTAGTTATATCTACAATGGATCGCGTTTGTTCTACTCGCAGGGAAGGGAGACATTTATGTGTCCAAATGGTTCGCTTTCGATTGTTTCAACTTTCTGTCCGATCGGGATAACAGCAATCAAACTATGGAAGTATTGACCAAAGTAAGTTCTTCTACTGTCGTAATAATAGTATACGGAATTTCTGATAAGGATTTCTCGCCCAAATATATCGCTCGAACGTCTCGAACCTTGCATCCCCTAAACTTAGAAATTGCTCGGTCGGTAATATCACTCGATGCTCGCGGTATTTGAAATACGACTGCGATACGTTGCGATACATAAATTATTCTTGAACTGTGGATATTCTTGCGAAGTAAACATTTTTCAAAACGATTGGAAGACTCAAAAAGTAATTGAAATAAATTATTTCTTTTAATAATCTTGATATGTGTAACAATATTATTAAATTCTTCTTGTGAATGATGAAATTCTTCATCTGAAATATTTATTTCTTAGATTTCGTCTTTGAAATTTTAAATGTTAGATCTCTCTCAAAAAAAAAATTATGGGAAATCTTCGATGGAAATAAATAGCGTCAAACGATATGTTATGTTTTATACAGAGTATAATTATATTATTTTTACGTAAAATTTATATTAAAAGAGAGATGTAGAATTTATAACAAAATTATTTAATACTCCTATTTAATATGAAGTAGGATAAATATGCAGTCAACTCGCATTTTTTTTTTAATAAAGCATCGTACGAAGAAAGATTTCTTTACGATTATAATTAACTTTCCTTTATATTTAAATTATTTAATTTGATTAATTCTCGAA